ATATAAAAAGTCGACACTGGACTTCACAAACACGTTAAAAAATTGAAAAAATTTTTGTCATGGTACGGGTTTTAAGACCCGACCATCTATTGATGTGAGGACGTAGACTGAATAGAACTAGTGAAATCAAATGTCGGTCCTTTTAAACGATTTTTCAAAAGTGACAGGTGACAAATGTCATATATAGGAAATAGAGATTGTTTTTTTAAATTCTTACAAAATTATTTAGTAGTTTGGAATTACTACTAGTCATCAAAGACTTTCTAAAAATTAAGTTTTTAAATTAAATTTTATGTGTTCATCACATCATACAGAATGAAATTTAATTTGTAAATTCACTCAAGTCATTGCTCAAGGTCAATGTGTGTTCAATCTGACAGCTATCCTTAAGGATATAAGATTGTAAGAATTTAAAAAAACAATCTCTATTTCCTATATATGACATTTGTCACCTGTCACTTTTGAAAAATCGTTTAAAAGGACCGACATTTGATTTCACTAGTTCTATTCAGTCTACGTCCTCACATCAATAGATGGTCGGGTCTTAAAACCCGTACCATGACAAAAATTTTTTCAATTTTTTAACGTGTTTGTGAAGTCCAGTGTCGACTTTTTATATGTTTTTTATGTGTTTTAAGAATTCCAACTCCTACAATATCATAATTTTAAAACTTAAGGAAATGAGATCTCTTCTTTGTAGTGGTATTTAAAAAATTGACGTAAGTTAAAAATTACAATCTTTACCAATTAGTACTTATTAGAACATTTTATTGTAGCATAGCTCTGATGATGGCTTTGTAAAGCCGAAAGCGCTCAGCTAGGAATTGCCTAAAATATAAACACTTCAAAAATACTTTTTTGCATTTTCTTTCGACTTGTCATAAGTGTGTACAAAAAAATATCAGTCTTTTGATTGTTAAATACATAAGAAATTAGATGAAGGCATAAGTAATACACAAATGGGATTTAGGAAAGGTCTTGGAACACACGATGCACTGTTTGCAGTGACTGTTCTTTTGTAGAGATTGATTCATTGATTTTGAGAAGGCATTTGACAAAGTGCAGCATGATCAACTTAAAGAAATTTTCCTAAATAAAAACATAGATAGTATAGACATTAGAATTACATATGTATGTAACCTCTATTGGAAGCAAACAACAAAAGTGAAAGTTGAATATGAACTGACTAAGGTATCCAGATTTGCCGTAGGGTGCGCCAAGGGAGTATTTTATCACCATTTTTGTCTAATTTGTACAGTGAAGCCATCTAAAAATTAGCGTTGGCCGAAGTCAATAAGGGCCTAATAATAAACGGTGAACCACTTAATAACATAAGATATGCTGACGGTACTATCCTTCTGGCGGGTACAACTCTAGAAAACACCGTAACACCTTGTTCAAAAACTAAAAGAAAATCAAGTTCATGGTATTTACAAGACCGTAAATCATAAAAGTTAAGCTAGTACTAGAAAATAAAGAAATTGAGTAAATATATTTGTACAAATACTTTGGAGCATGGATTACTTCTTCTTCTTTGGGTGCCGTCTTCAATGAAGGTTGGCGATAACCTTAGCAAAATCATTTCTGTCTCTGGCTTTTCTTATTAAAGATTGAGAATCCAAACCAGTCCACTCACGAATGTTCTTCAACCAGGACGCCTGCCGTCAACCAGGACGCCTGCCGTCTACCAGGACCACGTTTTCCTTCTACCTTCCCCTCTATAAGAAGCTGCAGTAGCTGGTATTTCTCATTTCTGTATATGTGTCCCAAATATGAAGTTTTCCGTGTTTTCATTATTTTTAAGAGTTCTCTGTCGGTACCCATCTTGTGTAGGACCTGCTCGTTGCTCATATGCGCTGTCCAGGGGACTTTCAGCATCCTTCGAAATAACCACATTTCAAAACTTTCCAAACGCCTTAGTGAGTTGATTTTGAAGGTCCAGGCCTCCATTCCATATAATAAGGTGCTGTAAACGTAACATTTCAGCATTCGGTAACGGATTTTGAGATTGAGTGTTTGGGACGTAAACATTTGTTTCATTTTTAAAAAGACATTTCTTGCTTGTTCAATTCGCGATTTTATTTCTATGTCTGGATCTATATCTTTCGTTATCCAGCACCCTAGATATCGAAATTTCTCGACATTTTCGATAATGTTACCATTCACGTTTAAAGCCATGGGTGGATGGATGGATGTTTTGGAGACATGGATTACAGAAGATAATAATCAGACAAAATAGCACGGTCAACTTTTAACATTATCTTTTCTATTTAACTTTTTCTGTTATCGCAATATTAATATAACGCACTGGATAAGAATGATTCGATAGTTTCCCCACCTTTTTCTATTGGGTTGAGGCCTGGACACTGAAACAATCTCATATTGGCGTTACAGACGTATTCTTAAAATTTTATGAATGGATCCAAAAACAAACTCACAAGTTCTCGAAAAATTAGGAAAACAATGATAAGTTTTAAATTCTATAAAAATCAGGAAGTTGGAATACTTGGGGCACATCATGAGAGGTGAAAAATATTAACGATTAACTAATAAATGCAGGGAAAATCATAGGCAGAAGAAGCGTAGGAAGACGTAAAATCTAATGGCTACAGAATCTCCGTGAATGGTTTGGATGCAGTTCAGGCGCATAACCAACATAATTATAATTACCAGAATAATTTCCAATCACCGATAGGAGCTTAACTTGAAGAAAATTATATAAAATGTCAACAATCAACAATAGCCTATGTCAACAAAAAGATGAATATTACCTACCCAGATCTTCGACTTAAAAGCCTTAATATCTTTCGGTATAGAGTCAGATCACAAATTGAGGTAAGGCAAATGATAAGACCATCCAAATACTGTTTAAAGTAAATATAGGGTGTCTAGAGAAGAAAACGTTTAGAAGAAAGATTTGATTGCAGCAATGAAACAACTGGTACCAACTAACAGTAAAACTATTCAATATACTTGACTAACTCTTAAGATTAAAGTACACAAAAAAAATAATGGACCTGATTTACCAAAGAGATCGAACACACGACTTGGAGTATAGACATGACACGAAAAGTAACGAAAAAATTAAAAGATCTTTAAATAATGGAAATACTCATTAGTAAATAAAAAAATCCAAACAAAATAGCAGAAAAGTAATGGATCGTTTATCTAAAAGATCTCTACGATGGAGAGGGTACTTAAGCGAATAGAAGCAGAAGGGGAAAGTGATGATGAAGTTAGCACAGAAGTCTCAAAAGAGTACATCAAGAATTGCAAATTGAAATTAAAAAAACAGAATGTATTTATCTTAAAATACAGAAATTAAAACAATAATTACAAGTATTAAGGAACTTTTTCAGAAATTAAAACAGAAATTAAAACAATAATTACAAGTATTAAGGAACTTTTTCAGAAAATTTTAAACAGTAAGTGATTTAGAATAAATTTTAAATTGTGGCTTATTTCCAATAAAAATAGTACTTAATTGCTGTAATATGCCACACAAAAATAGCTTTAGAACAATAGGAAGTGTAATCAGAGTGGCCTAAGACCACAATAGCAATGCATAAGCAAGTAAATAGTAGAAATTCTTTTGACTACTGTATAATCAACTCAACACAACTCTTAAGCTGCTAACAAACATATTTGCCAATAAGCCAATAAAGATACACAAAAATTAAATAAACAGCAAAGAGCAATAAGGCTTTCGACAAAATAGGTCAACAGTAGATAAATTCATGGATAGATTGCTGAAAAGCATTGGAATATGCCAAACGTGTCTATACGCTCAGATGGCAAATGTTCAGAAAAAACAAAAACCAAAACTAGAATTAAAATTGAGTGTGAACTAACACTGACAGTAGATACCAACTCGGGAATCTGACTCAGAAAACTTCTCCCCAATTTAGTAATGAAGAAAATCGTGGAAGAAACTAAAGGACATGAGCATGACAGAAAACATAAATATCCTCTGTCACGCACAAAGATAAATGTCTTCAGATCAAACAGGTGCAGACCCAAGGCTTAATATAATAAACAAAACAATATCTATGTTAAACACATATTTTACGCAAGTAAAACAAATAAATTGTGTAACAAAATTCAGTCAACAAATTAAAAGTTAAATTATCATCCAAAAGTATAGACCTACATCAAAATTTTTGCTTTTAAAATTTATATACATTTTGCTTTTTTTGACAGCTTGAAGCTCTGAAAAACATAAAAACTCTGAAATTTATTTCTAAACTGTTTTTAACAGTTTCAGTATTTTTACTGAAAATATTATTCATTTATGTTTATTTCTATTATATTATATCAAACATATTTGTGGAAATATTTCGTTTATTTTTAAAATGAATAGCAATATGCTTCCAATAATAGTAAGAAGTAATAACAAAAAATGAAATATTGTTCTTAATTACTTGTAAAACTTTTAGACAAAAAATGACATTAAATGTGTTTAGTAAAAGTTTTAAAAATAAAGGCAGGGGAATGTTTTAAAATATTTAAAGGGCATGATTAGCAGCAGCTAAAAGTATACATGATTCGAAAATAGAAACCAATTGAATGTGGAATAGAAGATGGTTGATCAAATTAAATCAATAACATGTGTCTACAGACATAACATATTCAAATGAAAAGTAATAGGAAGCAAATGTTCGTATTGTAAAAAAAATCTAAAGTATACTTCAAAGTAGAGAATAGAGGAACTTTAAATCTAAACGAAAAAATGGAAATTATCAGAAATATAAAATCATAGAAGTGTCAAAAATTTATGCAATATTAAAATTAAAAACATCGGATATTAGTATCAAAAATAGTAGGAACGAAATAGTTTTATGTATTTTTAAACATTCTGATTATGATTATTATATTCAATACATCACAGACTGACATAATTGGAGTCGTTAACAGTAATTGCAAAAATCGCTGCATCATTAGAAGCGCAATATGGAAGCCTCAATTCCTAACCGAACATTTCGTCCTTGGCAGATTTTTTCTCACCCTACTTTCCCACACACCCCAATTTCAAAACAAATCCGTTGCGCAAGACTATTAGAGAAATAACCCCATGGGTTCGTAATAAACTTTTTACCAACCTGTAGAACATGCGAATCGGTGTCATTCTCGATATCAGAAACCTGCACTCCATCGACATCGGCGTAAGATGGGCCACTATAATCAGAAACAACACTAGATCCACAGCTATTGCCGGAATCGTCCATATTTATGTCGGCATGCTTGTATTCCGTACCCATAATCACACTAATCAATGGGAATAAGCACTGGTCGATCGGATGGCCGTAACGCACTTCACTCGATTTTTTTACACCTTTTCGAATTTGAATTTTTTTTCGGACAGTTTGTTTTCTGTTATGAATGCGATTGACGGCTTTGAGAAAAGTGATTTGCCCTACCTCACTTCACAACTGTTCGCGCCGCACTACTGGTCGAATTTGAGGTAGAATGTGTTCGGCATGGACGGGAGAGTAGAGGCAACAGCTAGACCGTCTCGCAAATTGAAATAGGCGCCTGCGTTTTATGCGGTAGACGTATTGTGTGGATTAAATATTACACAGTTGTCAATTGATACAACTTTTACCTCGGCCTGTGTTTCTGTATCAATGGGCAGTTGAAGTTAGATAAAAATTATGAAATAAGAATTATTTATATAAAACTTTTTTGTAGACGATTTACTTAAATTATTTTAAAAGAGTTACCATGCAATATCAATACATTTAAGTGTAAACATAATAAAATGAACAATTTTATTACTAAGTAATTTTATTTCTGATAAAAATATCTTCATCGTGTAAAATTGATAATACAAAATGTTTGTTTTAATATACGAGGTGCAAGAAGTATGTCAGGCATTGCATAATAATGTTTAGGAACGAAATTAAGTACCTACTTATTTATGTTTTAAATATAAACAAAATTCCAGAAATGTTTTCTTTTTATTTAAAGTTCTGATATTATACCTACCTACAATTATTATTTATTAGTTTTTGACTACTACTACGGTTGTATTATAGTTCATAACAAACTATTTTTTATTGGTTTTATTTACTTTAATTATTATAATTAATTTATTTTTGATCAGACTCGCAATTAAATGAAACATTTCGATATGATTATAAATTTTCTTCTTCTTCTTCTTCCTCTTTATAAACAATACTTCTTCTGCCGATTGGTACTTTTTTTTCTATTTTGTACCCATTCATTTATACAGTACGATGACAGTACGTTACATTTTCTTCTGTCTTCACTTCTCTTTCGATCTCTCAGCGTATTTCCTGTAATTCTTCTCAGTAGGTACTCCCATCTCTGCCGTTTTCAGTAGTCTTTACGTTGTGGCTGTATCGGGTCTTCTTTCTGAGGCATAGTAATTATTGGTCTTATACTGGCTTTAACCTAGTGAGCCACTTACTTAAAACGTTCTTGAATGTGATACACGGCAGAATATATAAAAAATGCGAAGAACAGGTATCATGGACGCAGTTTGGATTCCGCGATTCCTTAGGCACCCGAGAGGCTCTATTCGCTGTCCAAGTGCTTAGGCAAGGATGCAGGGATGTTAACTGTGGTGTGTATATTTGTTTTATCGACTACAAAAAGGCATTTGATAGAGTAAAGTATGATAAACTTATAAACATCTTGAAAGAAGTGGGGTTAGATGATAGGGACTTGAGAATCATCTATAATTACAAGAACCAAACAGATAATATTAAAGTGGATAACCAATTGACAGAGGCAGTCTCCATAGATAGAGGAGTGAGGCAAGGATATCTTCGAGCAAGCGCTGGGAGAACTACAAGAAGGCGTATTAGTCAACGGAATGCCTCTAAACAACATTAGATATGCCGAAGTCGCAGTAGTTTTTGCAGATAGTCTGGACGGTTTGCAAAGAATAATGTCGCGTATATCAGATATAAGTAGAGAACACGGACTTGATCTTAATACCAAGAAAACAAAGTACATGGTAGTCAGCAAGCGCGAAATATTAAATACACAGCTTTTGGTTAACCAACATCCAATTGACAGAGTGGACAGCTACACCTTGGTACCAACATTAACAGTCAATGGGATCACTCCAGTGAAATAAAACAATGCATAGAAAAAGCGAGATTAGCGTTCATAATGATGAAGTCTCTTTTCAGAAGTCACGATTTACAACTTGCTACCAAAATCTCTCCATTAGATGCTATGTATTTTCTACGTTATTACACGGAGTAGAGGCCTGGACACTTTCCGAAGCTTCTTTAAGAAATCTCGAGGCATTCGAGATGTGGTGTTATAGACGTATTTTAAAAATTTCATGGGTGGATCGTGTGATTAATGTTGATGTCCTATGTAGAATAGGCAAGGAATGCGAGATTATTAATACCATCAAAGAGCGTAAACTAGAATATCTTGGCCATGTTATGAGGAATGAATAGAGATATGGCTTGTTGCAACTCATTCTTCAGGGCAAGGTATTTGGAAAGAGAGGACCAGGGAGAAGAAGAATATCTTGGCTTCAAAACCTGAGAAAGTGGTTTAATACATCGACAACCGGACTATTCAGAATAGCAGCAAGAAAAGTTAGGATAGCTATGTTGGTCGCCAACATCCGGAACGGGTAGGAACCGTAAGAAGAAGAAGATACTGGCTTTAAAAATTCTTAACTTCATCAGTAAAGGGGCTATGTATGTTCGGCGTATTTTTCCATGTTAAATCCCATAAGAAATGTAAATCGCTAAGGTCCATTCTGGTAATATTTTTCTCTTTTTGTGGTAGAGGCGCGACGGCTAGTTGGATCGTGACGTACGATAGCTCGTTGGAAAGGGGAGTGGATGGCGAATACAATGATGTATCAAAAACAAAAATGGCGACCATTCCTCCTCTTCTTTCACGCTCCAAGTGCTAAACGCCTTAACGTACACCTTAACGCCTAGAGTTGGGCGACATGTCACGTGATAGGGTTTAACCAATACAATGCATCTACGTAGGTGGATGATCAAAAATTCAAGATGGAGGTAGTTCTGCTTCTTCTTTCACACAGCAACTCCTAAACGGTATATCACAGAACGACGTACGATAGCTCGTTATAAAGAGGACTCGGTATGCAACACAACGATGTATAAAAAATAAAGAGGGCGACTGCTCTTCTTCTTCTTTCACTCGCCAAAGAGTTTAGACAAAAGACTTCTGAACACAAATAACAAATACTTACTCTTTAGTTCTATTGATCACATTCTTCATTCTGGCATTATGACCAAACCATCGAACGTACCTACGTCTACTTGTTTTACACATACAAAAGATGGTGAGACCTTGCACCCATTCTTGCAATATACCCAAACCATCAAACGTTCCTACGTACCTTACATTCATTCTAGCATTATAATCAAACCATCAAACGTTCCTACGTACCTTACATTCATTCTGACATTATGACCAAACCATCTAGCACCTATCAGTCATCGTAAAAAGATACTCCTTCAATATGTCGCTTCTTGTATAAAACAATTATTCTTCTTATCTCTCAAAACAATTCATGACAGGCGAGGTGCATGTGCAAACGATAAAACGCATAGCAACGAATGAGGTATTACTACTATACATAAGCCTCCATTGAACATGCATTACTATATATACACCGCTAATTTTTCGTATATATACAATATTTTTATGAAAATTAGTGAATACAGTTGGCATCATGCGTTGAATACTATATTTTATCTACGACGAAACTTTATTGTTTTATAGTGAATAATGAGAACGATTTCTCATACACAGCAAGATGACTGTCTCTTCTTCTTTTTCACAGTTCTCCGCAGAAGGAAACTATTAAACGAGTACTATGAATGATATGTGCGATAACAATATATACTAAATCAGTAAAGTGCGCAAAGTAACGAGCTGCACACTATATTTTCTGAGAATGTAAAGCAATGTATAAAAATAAAACCATGCGATGAAAGGAACGCAACCAATTCAGTGTTAATGTGTCTGTTTCGCCATAGTGTTATTAAGGCATCTTGCCAGTTTATTTGCTTTTTGTACTTGATCTCTCACTTCTTTGTCCAGGTCTCCATAACTAGACAGTGTAATTCCCTGGTATTTTATTTCTATTATTTGTTTAATACTGATGCCATCAATTTTTATTTAACATCTGGTTAGTTCTTTGCTGACTACTATTGTTTTAGTTGTCTGAGATGAGATTGTCATATTAAATTCTTTTGCTCTCATGTTAAATCTGCGGACCAGTCCTTGCAGACTATCTTCATCTTGGGCTATCAATATTGCGTCTTCTGCGTAACAAAATATTTTTATTTCTTTGTTTCCTATTCTGTATCCTCTTCCTTTGTTAACGGTTTTGATGATTTCATCCATAATCAAATTGAAGAGCTTGGGGCTTAATGAATCCCCATGTCTTATTCCGCCGCCTATTTCTATAGGTTATGTAAGTTGTCCATCTACTCTGACTTCCATTTTGTTGTTTTGGTAGATGTTTTCGAGAGTTTTTATAATATTTAGGCGAACTTCTCTATTATACAGAAGATGGATTACATCTTTGAATCTTTCTCGTCAAACGTTTTCTTTAGGTCAAAATCATGTGATTTCTCAGTAATTTGCTTTATAACGAATATTGCATCTGTACACGATCTTCCACTACGAAAACCCTGTTGTTCATCTGCTAAACATCCTCTTATTTATCCTTCTTCTTCTTCTTCTTCTTCAAGTGCCCTGTCCGTTGCGAATGTTGGCTATTAACATGGCAATTGTGATCTTGTTTGCGGCGCTTCTGAATAATTCGACCGATGTGAGCCCGAACCACTTCCGCAGATTTTGGAGCAAAGTGTCTTCTCCTGCCTGGCCCTCGCTTACTGTCTATTTTTCCCTGGGCAATCAATTGCAGTACATGGTACTTACCGTGTCTCAATATGTGGCCTAGATATTCAAGCTTTCTTTGTTTAATTGTGCTCACGATTTCTTTCTCCTTTGCGATTCTTTGGATTACCTCTATGTTGGTGACATGTTCGGTCAAGGATATACGAAGAATGCTTGGGTACACCCACATTTCGAATGCTTCTAGTTTTCTCGTGAGCGTCTCTGTCAGCGTTCAGGCCATCACACCATATAGTAGGATCGGGAAAATGTAGCATTTAACTAGACGTAGTTTTAGGGGAAGAAACAAATCCTTGCTTATGAGCAGCTTTTTCATATTGTTAAATGCTGCTCTAGCTTGTTCTATTTTTGCCTTAATTTCTGT